CCAAGTTTCAGAATCAAGCTGCCATTCAGATGAATCTTATTCCAGAGAATACAGAAATGCAGAAACAAATAGAAAAATAGGGACCACCTTTGGTGGGAAGGTAACAGCGCTCTGTTTGCCTTCGGCATTTAGTCATGCCAGCCACATGACCATGGAGACGTCTTCGGATAGCGCAGGCTCTTCGGTTTAGAAACGGTGAGCACCGCCTCCTAGAGTCAGGAACGACTAGCACATATGTGCGAGGGAACCTTTACCTTTACGTTCTGCTTGGCTGAAGGATGGGATGTAAGAAAAAGCTAATTGCTGAGCCAAACAAACATCCAGTTATGCTGCTTTTTTCTATTTGTTTCTGCATTTCTGTATTCTCTGGAATAAGATTCATCTGAATGGCAGCTTGATTCTGAAACTTGGCAATGTAAGAATGAGAGCCTTAGTTCCCCTCCCCAAGCTTACCATTCGAATCGAATCTTAGCTGTCTTTATTAAAACACTTTAATATGAATCAGCCATTTTTTTCAATATTTGACTTTCCAGTTAGAGTATGTAGTATATATTCTTTGCATGGATTGGATGGTAGGCGTTGCATATGAAAATGTTTGGAAACCCTCTCTTGGTCCTGGTAATAAGCCAGGGCCTACTACAGGTAGTTCTTGATTTACAACCGTTGGTTTAATGACTGAAATTACAACGGCACTGAAAAAAGTGACTTAGGACTGTTTTGCCCTGTCAGGTGATCAAAATTTAGCCACTTGGCAACTGACTCATGGTCGCAGTGTGATCCCCTTTTGTGACCTTCTCACAAGCAAAGTCAAGGGGGAAGCCAGATTCACTTAACCGTGTGACTAACTTAACAATGGTGGCAAGGAAGGTCTTAAAATGAGGCAAAGCTCCCTTTAACGACCGTCTCTCTGAGCAATGGAAATGTCGGGCTCAGTTGCGGCCGTAAGTCAAGGACTACCTGTGTTTACACCTGAATGTAGTCCACATGATCACATGGTGTTGTTTTTTAACTCCACTGCAACTCTTATCCTTAAAACAGGACACAGGATTTGAAAACCAAAAAGCATCATATTCCAGTGGTCGATCGCACTCCCTTGGAACCCCCTCCCGTGGTCGTAGTGGTGGTGGGCCCTCCCAAGGTTGGGAAAAGCACCTTGATAAGATGCCTCATTAAGAATTTTACAAGGCAGAAATTGGTTGAAATTCAAGGCCCGGTGACCATTGTATCAGGTAAAAAACAAAAACTGATTTGTTCTGACCGAGGCTTCTCAAGAGCATGAGGCAAACTCCTTGTACCCACAAAAACCCCTTTTATTAATTGACTGTGAATTCTGCTCATTCACATCCAGCAAAGTCTTCCAAGAGAGGATCTACAGTCACAGACCTTATCTGGCTTGGAGAGCTGACCGGCCGATGTTTGCAAAACTTGGCAAGGAGTCTCGGAGAGTCACAAACCAATTAAGCGAACTAATTATCTCCTGCAAATTCCCCTCCCCTTTTGTACCTCTTTTATTTCCTCTGAGAGGGGCCATTCATTGTCCACCTGTGGCCTTACTCCCAAGTCAACCCTGTTCTTTAGCTGTTCCCTTCGTCTGGCAACTCTGTGCATGCACACATTGGGAACAGGTTCCAGCTGTTCGTCTGCCTCACTGATGTCTGACTCTGAAGGCAGTTGATAACTGGCATACGGCTCTGGCCCCCTCTCTGCCTCTGATGCAGAGCCCTCATCAGAGCCTTCCCCAGACTCCAGGACTGGCCCATGTTTCTCCCCAACCTCCTCACTGTCCGAATCTGTTGCCAGCTCTGCTGGCCACAACACCACCTCTGTATTTGCACCCACCACTGCTCTCAGTTTCAGATGCTGGCAATTTGGCTCTACTTTGAAAGAAAGATCAGTGCTGACCAGAGGCCTGCAGATTGTTTTCGGGTGAAAACCTTACCCCCAAAACATCTTCCTTCCTTCCCCTGTCCTTACCACTTTCTATAGAGGGATGATCGGGAGCATCCTGTCCTATGGCATTACTGTTTGGTTTAGAAGCATTACTGCTTTGGACAGGAAGGTGATGACGAGAATGATGAGGACAGCAGAAAAGATTATTGGCAGTTCACTCCCTTCTACCCAGGACACAGCATATAAGCGACTTGGCTACCCTTCTGTGTTGGAACTTATTCCATTTCCTACAGTTATCTTATTTTATATTTTATTTTAAAATGTTAGATTGCAATTTTTTTAAAAAATATCTTTGTATTTTTAAACAAAGTTATAACAATCTTCCTTCTTCTGTTTCTTGCCTTTGGCGGCCAGGTAAAAAACGGCGGCTAACCATAATTGAATGTGGGTGTGATATTAATGCGATGATTGATCTTGCCAAAGTTGCTGATCTGGTAAGTTTTATGGGTATATCATGAGACAGAGATAGGTTTCCTCAAGATAAAAATCCGATTGAAGAAGCTTAACGTTAGTACAGGTGGACCTCGACTCTAACGGCACTGAAAAAAAATGACTCACAACCATTTTTCACACTTATGACTGCTCAGCATCCCCATAGTCATGTGGTTTACATTTGGATGCTTGACAGCTGACTCAAGTTTATGACGGTTGCAATGTCCTGGGGTCACTGATCCGCTTTTACAACCTTCAGAGAAGCGAAGTCAGTGGTGATGGGGAACCCAGATTCACTTAACAACCATTTTACTAATTTGAGAACTGCAGGGATTCACTTAGCAAATGTGGCAAGAAAAATTGTAAAAGGGAGCAAAATTAACAAATTTCTCAGCATAAATTTTGGGGTCAATTGTGGTTGTAGGTTAAGGACTACCTGTATGTTACTTTCTGACAAGCAAAGTCAATGGGGAAACCAGATTCAATTAACAACCAGGTGACTAATTTATCCACTGCAGTGATTCACTTAACAACTGAGGCAAGAAAGGTCGTGAAATGTGGCACTCCACAGATGTCTTACGTAACAACAGAAATTTTGGGCTTGGTTGTGGTTATAAGTCAGGGACCCCTGCATATGATTTTAGACAGTTTCTAAAGTCTAACAGTTGTGGCTACTTTGTTGTAAAATACATTAAGAAATGGTTTGCATTAAGAATTGGTTTGCATCCTAACATTTTGGCCTAGGAAGAAGATACCTTTTAATTCAATATGTGTTTTTAGTACATAACAGTGAACCCCAATTGTATGTTCTTCTTTGTTTTTTTCCATGTTCTTCTAGTAGTCGGAACAAGCGATTTGCCATAATAAATACCAGTTTATTTTAGTCACATAATTTCATTAATAATGAGATATACGTTGAAAGCCAGAACACAATGATTTGTTTTAATAACTACTGTGTTCCCCTGAAAATTAGACAGGGTCTTATTTTCTTTTGACCCTGAAATAACTGCTTGGCCTTACTTTTGGGGAGGTCTTATTATTTTTGAGGTGCAGGAGGAGCTGAGCGTGGTCACCTCATGGCTGCTGTTTGTTGCAATATTTTGGGGGAGGGCTTATTTTCAGGGGTGGGCTTATTTCAGTGCATGCGCTCAGAAGCCCACTTGGGCTTATTATCCAGGGAGGTCTTATTTTCAGGGAAAAAGAGTAGGAAGGTCCAATAGAGTAAGTCCAGATTATTCCTTAAGTCTCCCTCCTTGGGAAGTTTTAAGACTTGTGGACTTCAACTCCCAGAATCCCTCAGCCATCTGAAGAATTCTGGGAGTTGGAAATCCACCAGTCGTAAAGTTGCCAAGGTTGGAGACCTAAGTAATTTTTCCTTTTGGAAAGGCACAGAACAGATTTTGTCCCTACCCCTCCTATAAACACATCTACAGTGCCGATCCTTTTTGGTGTAAGCAACGTTATGCAATCCACCGAAAACCAGTGCATAGGAAGCAAAAGAAATTAAAGATGTGAGGAAAAAAGGGAATCTAATTTGATGTAAGCATTGTTATGCAGAGCCTCCAGAAAGGTTTATAGGAAGCAAAAGAAATTAAAGATGGGAGGGGGAAAAGGGGGGAAATAATTAAATTATACCAATGCATTCAATAGATAAGTGCATGAAAGTTGACCTTTATAAGTGTTTACTTAGAGTTGGCGTGTTTTAATGAGATTTTTAAAAAAGTGCAACAGGTTGGTTCCCCCTGCAAAGTATATTTATTTATTTTCAATTTCCCTCTCAGGCTTTGATGCTGATCGATGCCAGTTTTGGTTTTGAAATGGAAACCTTTGAATTTCTGAACATTTGTCAGGTCCATGGCTTCCCCAAGATCATGGGTGTTCTTACACACCTGGACAGCTTCAAAAATAACAAGCAGCTCAAGAAGACCAAAAAGAGATTAAAGCATCGGTTCTGGACTGAGGTCTATCAGGTAGGACATGCATCAGCTTGCCTTCAGTGACTGGGAAAATGTATCAGAAATGAACAAAAAAAACCAAGAGGTGTTGTAACATTATAATTCCATTTTAAAATCACAGATCGACGGGTCCTGTTTTCACTAGTTTTCAACTCGGTTTGATTTAAACCACTAGAGCAGGTTAGGAAGCAGTAGACGCCTTAGCCATGATAGCCAAGTGGATCAGCGGTCACCAACTGGTGGTCTGTGGACCACTGGTGGTTTGCCAGAAAATTTTGGTGGTCGGCAGAAAAATTATTTGCATTTTTTATATTGCACTAAATCAGGAGTCCTCAAACTACAGTCCCTGGGCCGGATACGTGCAATGAACGTTTGTGTTCCTGCAGACAGTCTCCCCTGTCTGGGTCTTTTTGTGTGTGTCAGAAGGGTGGGGGGCAGAAATTCAGACTTGGGGTCTGCTTCAGGCTCCTGGTGTGGGGCTTTGGGCAAAGGCTGGAGGGAAGCACCGCTGGTAGCGAACAGCCAGAGGACCTTGTTCTAGTGAGACTGCATCATGGCCTAGAACTGGTTGACAATCTCAGCCCGCTGAGCCTCCAGGCGTCAGTACCTAGTCTTCCACTCCCGCAGGTCTTCCCTCTGCTTGGAAAGCCTATGCTCGTAGTCCTCAGTGAGGTGAGCCTCCTTCTCGGTCAGATCCAATTTGAACTGAGCCAGCTGTTTTGCCAACTCTTTCTCATGGTGGCTGCTTAGCTCCAGCAACTGCTTCCTNCCACAGCTGGGACAATTCTCTGGGTTCTACCAGAACTTGCTCAAGTTCTGTTCCAGCTAAGGATCTCCATATATAGAGAGAGCATTGTTAACTTTTGCTCCTGACTCTGGAGGTATCTAAACATGGACAAATATCCCAGGCTGGTTTGTAATGGGTAATACTCAGATCGTGTACATCTTCCACCTTTTACTGAAGAGTTCCACTTAGAAGAAAGAACACTTATGAGTTTTGTCCTAATGTTTTGAGGTACCCAAAATTCAATTTCCAGCGAGATCTACACCCACCTTCCTGCTTTTCTCCAAGGACCTGAAGATTTGGCTCTGCCAGTTGACCTGGGACTCCATCAGGGATGCATCACTCTGGAGGAGATTAACAGATTAAGGCAAGACCACCCCCACTCCCAGTGTGCATCTTGCTTCCTTCCTCCTCTCCTTTTAATTGTAATGGTTTTATTATTGAGAGACCGCCTCCTGCCGATTACCTCCCTTTGGTTTTATTACAGTTCCTTGCCCAGCTGGATAGCTATATTTGGCATTAAATTTTAATCCTAAAATAAGTAAAACGAATGGAGGGGAAACTGGAGGTAGTTTTACTGCAGGGATCAGTCTGTGAATGTCTCAATTTGGGACTTTGGGCCAAGCCTTTGAGAAGCCTTCAAACCAGGGATTCAGAGGCCTTGGGAGAAGATTGCAAGAAGACGACCATAAAAGAAGGCTTTAAAATTTTCTTCCCATGGTTATGGGGAAATATCCAAGTGGCTGCAGACTTGTGTTGGGACAGACCCCTCCTCCCACCATGCCAGCAGAGGAGACACACTATGGATGCCATCAGTCAAGGAATTCTGGCTGGCTGAATCCAGGAGAAGAAGAGCCTTCAATGCTGTAGCCGCAGATCTTTAGAGCACCTCACCTTCTGAGGTGAGATTGACTCCCACTTTCTACTCTTCCATAGGGGGCTGAAAATCCTGCTCTACCAGTTGGCTTGGCGCCCCAGTGGAAGAACATCAAGAAGTGGTTGACTGACTAATACCCAGCTCCCAAATCTCTACATTCTCCCTTCATCCCCATCTTTTAGCTATAATTTGTATTTTATTATGATTCTGTTGAGATTTTACATGCACACACTTTCTTTCCCCCTCTCACTTTTCCTCCCTCCCTCTCTCTCTCTCTCTCTCTCTCCCTTTTTCTCTCTTAACTTCCCTATTTTTTCTCTCTTTCCCTCCCTCTCTCTTTCTCTCCCTCTCCCTCTCACTCTTTCTCTCTCTCTCCTTCTCACTTTTTCCCTCCCCCTCTTTCCATCTCTTTCTCTCCTCCTTTTCTCTCTCTCTCATTCCCTCTCTCTTTCTTTCTCTTTCTCTCTTTCTCTTTCCCTCCCTCCCCCCTCTCCTATAGATTTATTAGCTACTTCAAACGTATTTTACACCAGTGAAGTTTTGGCTGCTAATTTATTCACCTGAGCTCTTTATGTTCTTAAGGGGGATATGGTTTAAAAATAAAAGATCTGTATGGTTATCTGGAACTGCTTTTTGGTAGTAGGGATGGCTTTCAATAAACTTTGATCTTGAAATGGCTTATATGTGTTTGATTGTTTCTATGTGTTCTACTTTAGGTTGGAGAGAGGATGTTTGAATGTCAGTGGCTGAGTCATTTGGAGCCAAGTATATGTCAAAGAGATTTGTCTCTTCCATCTGAGAAGATAAGCTATCTTCATGGCTGGAGAGAATGCTCTTGAATGGAGGCTGGGTGCAAATAAAGGCCAATCAAGGCATTTCTTTCAAATGAGGTAAAATTAGAATTACTCACTTGGATCATCCATCCATCTCAGGAGCTCTTAATTTCTCTTCTCATTTTCCTGGGTTTATTTTAACTGGCGTGGCAAAAAGGCCAAATTCAACACCTTTGCAAAACTCAACCTCCTGTCTTCCTCTGAGCTGAGCTTACAGATAAATACATTCATGTTTTATTTATTTTATTTAAATTACTTTTCATTTCCACTGTGAGATCTGAATTTTAGACAATCAGAATTCATCGAATTCTCACCACATTAACATTTTCTCTTTTTTATATCTCCTTTCTAACTTCTGTTTCTATTGTCTAACCATTGGTAAAATACATCCCAATCAAAAAATATTATTTCTTCTTTATCCTTAATAATGAGCATTAATCTGTTCATTTCTGTGCATTTTAACAATTTCTTAATTACACACTCATCTTGTATTTGTGCAACAATAGAAAAATGATGAAATACTGTCATAGTATTTCATCATTTTTCCATTATTGTGCAAATACAATTCTAGCTGCAGTTAATATATGTAAAACCAGATATATAGTCTTTTTATCATACTTTTCCGGTAGAATGCCCAACAAAAATATCCCAGGTTTCAAATCAATATTCTGCTTTATCATTTTTTCCAACCAAGTATATATTTTTGTCCACAGTTTTTAACCTTTTGGGCAGATCCAGCACATAGGATAGTATGAGCCTAGTGGTTGATTTAATTTCCAACATTTAGCAGATCTATTTTTATACATTTTAGCCAATCTTGTTGGTGCAAAATGCTAACTATAAAACATTTTGTACAGATTCTCTTTATATGCAGTTGACAGATAAAGGCATTTTTATGGTAACATTCCTAGAAAAAAAAATGAAATAAGTAAATGGAATGGGAAGTTGGGTCTCTTTGTAATATCTTTGCTGGTGCAAAGTGCTAACTATAAAACATTTTGTACAGATTCTCTTTATATGCAGTTGACAGATAAAGGCATTTTTATGGTAACATTCCTAGAAAAAAAAATCTATGAAATGAGTAAATGGAATGAGAAGTTGGGTCTCTGTAATATCTAGAACATTGTTCTAAGTATTGGTATTGAACAGAGGAATAGGTTGGATTCTTTTCAATTTTCTGAAGCTGGGATGGTGGTCAAATGAACCCGAAAAGGGATTCTAGCAATTCCAAAATGAAAGGGAGACAGGTGGCTATAGAAATTTATTAAATACATTTAACAAATAAACATTGACCTTTGGATCCCCAACAAACTACAGGTAGTTCTTTACTTAAGAACAGTTGGTTTGGTGACACTTCAAAGCTACAACGGCATTGAAAATGTGACTAATAACCGTTGTAATATCCCCATGGACACATGACACACAGTGTGTGCATGCAAACAGTGAAGAGAGATTCTTTTCAAGGATTTTTAAGCTAAACTTTTCCCAGCTAACATGGCTGGAGTAGTGTGATCTGTAGCTCACTTCATCGGGCAACTGGAGTCATCCAGCTGATGTTGGTGAATTTGATGTTGGCTACAGGGTAAGAAGACTTGACTTGAAATTGACTTCAAGTTGACCTCTTGATCTAGTTTCTCTTCAAACAGCCTTTCTCTTTCCAGCTGGTTTTTATGATGGCTCTTTCAGGCACCTATAATGCTTTGTTGACATCCTGCTAATCTGCTTTTCTTTTAAAAGTTAAGACGACACTGGGGAAAAAATGAATTGTGACCATTTTTCACATTTACAACTGTGGCAGCATCCCCATGGTCACATGATCGAATTCAGGCACTTGGCAACTGACTCACAACGGTTGCAGTGTCCCGTAGTTACATGATCCCATTTTGCAACCTTCCGACAAGCAGAGTCAAC